TCAGTTAAGAAAAAATGAGTCCAGGAATACTTCCAGAACATTGTTTTAAGCATAAAGGCAATCATTATGCAACTTTACCTTGGTTCGGCACCAAACTAGCACAAAAGTAAGCTAAAGGGATCAAAACAAAAGATTAAGTACTCACGTTTTCGTCGCGACGTGAAACCCCACGTTCTCACGTTCTCGACCTCAGGGTAACGTCGGGTCACAACGTGTTGTACATGCGCAGTGACGTCTCGAAAGAAATGTCACGTTTCCGGTTGCCGTCGTCAGGCCGGCGACGTCTGTTGCTTAAGGTGCCTAATAACTGGAGGGGGACCAAACTTAGGAACAAACCCTCTACAGTGGATAAGCTTTCTCTCTTACCCCTAATTCTCTCTGTATATATGATGATATAAAAAGTGTTTATTTCTCTATTCTAGCGCTTTTAAAGAAAAGGATTCTCAAGTTGAATCCTCAACGATCGATTTTAAAGGTCCGGGAAAGGGATATCCAAACATTTTAAAGTCCTTGAAGTAAATTCTCCCCAGCCTCTTGATATATGTCGCGGGAATCTGTGAATAATGCTTCAGCAACTCAGGTGAGGTATGTGAACGGCGGCTTGACTTGAAAGTTACATAGTCGTCGATACCCAGTTCTTTAAGAAAAAACGGCGCGTCCTCTTCAATAGTTTCCAAATGACCAATGAAGTCGTAATTAACGCTGCACATGTGGCAGATGTCATCATAAGGGCGCCAATGCTCATCGTAAAATCGCGTTACGGCAATATACTTTAGGAACTCCAGAAACGTGACGTCATCACCGGTATTTTTCGCGTGCTCCGTAGCATTCTTTCTGAAGTCTTGAATAATTTTCCGACCAAAGGTCTTCAAATAATACTCGTTGCCAGCCAAAAATTTACTCTTGTAAGCGGATAGCAGCCTCGCAAATGGTTCCCGGACAAATAGAAATTTGTGGAACTTCTTTAGTTTCTCAGTTATATTCTGAGTGGAATATTCATTAAGATGTTTCCACAAGGTTCTGTTTTGCGCATTTTTCCCTTGAATTCTACCATGGCCCAGTTCAACCGACAAAGCTTCCCTCCATTCGGTGCTTGCAACTTTGGGGATTGCACAGTAAATTATTTCAGCTTGGTCAATAACAACCAGATGTTTTAGAGTCATTCTGTTAGGTAGACTAGTAAATTTTTGATTCCGACAGAATGTGTTTATTGTGTGTTTTCGCTCATCTTGCCGTCTCAGTAAAAGCTCTTCAGACATTGTCTGTGGAAGAGAAAAGTGGAGACTGAAAGGAGCGTTCAAGCGAGCTAGTTTGCAGGTACAACAGAAATTTATAACTAAGTGGAGATTATTAAAAGTTTTATAGACTATATTAATGTTATAAAATCAAATGTACAGATATAACTCGGCCTGTCCCCAGTCCCCTGAAAGCACGAGCGATCTGGGAACGAGAATTATACTTGGCTACATAAATATACATTAGATTCAGTTGACGTACATCTAAAATATTTGATCTAAAATATCCAGCTTCTCCGACCTTTTATTTAAAAAAAACGCGCAAATCGAATTCATACTCTGAACAAGCTACTGGAAGCCTCTTTCCTGAATCACCCATACTAGTTTATTTAGAAAATTTATCTTTGTGCAATAACACTTACAGGCTTTGTGGTTGGTTGAGCTAAACGAACGTTCCTTTCCCTGGAATTCGTTTTATTGCTTTCAAAAGAATCTATAAAAAAGCAAAATAGCACAGAACACTGTGAGAAAACATACAATAAAAACGAGTCAATGAAATAAATGAATAAACAGATAAAATAAAATAAAATAAAATGCCAAAGAAAATAATAATTAAAACGTAAACAAATTAAAAAAGCTAGAATTTGGAAATGCTTATTTTCCAGAAGGAGGAAACCGGAGTACCCAGCAAAGGCTTTGAGCAAAAATGAGGTCTAACAAAAACTCAACTGACTCATAAGCAGCATTCGGCTTGAATAGAACCCAAACCACATGGGTGGGAGGCGAGCGATCTCGCCACTGCACAATCCCTGCAATGATCCATCAAAGAAAAAGTGTTGAAAAAATGGTGGAAACCGTTATGGGCCACGATATGACAAAACAGCATTAGATAATTGTTTTATTGAAAGTACAGTGTCTTATGTTATTCAGTAGCAAAATATAAAAACGCAATTAAAATCCTACGCACTAAAACTTCTAAGCAGACATCAAAAATATTAGAGCCTTTTAATCTAGGATGGGATAATGCTGGGTCATTTACCTGTGCATTTTCTGAAAATGACACAACGCCTTAAAACTATAAGACCATCGTCTACTCGTGACATGTCCACAACTATTAAAAACTGGATCATAGGACAATGCAATTCAAGAGTTTACATCTTGGCTCAGCCATCATGCTTGGTATGCGAACAATTGTACGATACTTAACAAATATGGAAAGTGTACGCGTAGTTTTTTTGAGGGTGTTTTTATTTTTAATTCATTTCAGTTTTCTATATTTTGGGGGCGTTTTAAATAGAATCGATCGCAGATTACAGATGATGTCAAAACGTGGTAGAAACTATTAGAAGAACTATTACTGAACAGACGCACGGCAACATACATGGAATCTATTTGTTTTACATAATAAGAAACAAAAACTGTTATGACGTCATCTAATCGTCTGTCTTCCTACAGAATATAAGTCAGAACCAATCAACACGCAAGAATAATCTGCCTTATTATATTCCCGAGTATATAACATCTCATATCGAACGCAAGCTCGAACTGAAATGATTGTTACGTATCTGCGTTACTCATTAGCAGTGATAAATAGTAAAACGCGCTATGATTTACAGATTGCTTACCTTGTTCGTGACCAGTTTCCTTGTCGTGCTGCTGATGGTCGCGGCCGTCCTCTTTTGTTGAGACTACTGGCTGTCCTGCCCAGGGCAATGAAGTTCTCCTCGAAGATGGTCGTTCTTAAGCAAGAATGAAACATACGGAAAGAAACCTTAGCTTGGTTTACAGAAACTTGATAAACCATCGAAAAACCATATTTTGTTATCAATGGAAACGGACAAAACGGCTTGGGTATTTCATAGAACAAAACGTTATTTCTAGGTGATTTCTAGGTTATTTCCAGTGAAGGTCTACGTCTTCTTTGATATTTGAACTTATTACTTGTTTTATCTATCTTTATTACCTGCTTCATCACTCTTTGTCTCACCTTCCGCCTGGTATCTTTCTACATCTTCTCGGTGACGTTTTTCGGTAGCATGGTTTTCCTCGCCCGCTTCCTGCTCTTCTTGGTTGGCCTTGTTTTCTTTAACCCCTTTTCCATTTTCAGTTCCATCGCTTCTTTCACTCTCATTTTTCACTTTATGCTTGTCTTCATTTCCTTGATCATGTCTTTTTGTTTTACCCTCATAGATTTGCTTCTGTCCCTCTTCATTCAATTTGTCTTCTTGGTTTTTCGTGTCGCTCTTACTATGTTCATCTTCCGGCTCGATCCGTTCACTAATTCTAGCCCTTCCATTTTCATTAGCTGTACTTTGTTCGTCATCATTAGCTTGTTCAACAGTTTCTTTATTTTCTGTTACAGAAGTTCCATACTTGTGTATTTCATCCCACCTTTCTTTGTTTCGCTCATTCTCGACACTCTCTTTAGTTGTTTTGTATCCTTGCAAACCCTTCCCGTCGGATTGTGAATTCTAACAGGACAAAGATTAAGTATTATCCCTGACAAGTGTCTTAAAATGATTCTTCATTCGTGCAGTCTGCACCGATAATCTAATTGAATAAAGAGAACAGCTTAAACTGAAATGTTTGAACGCTGTTGAAGATGAAGATTGAATATAGCAACAGCATTTGGGTTAAATACGAAAAACGGATCACAATACCTTACAAACTAGTTGACTGACTGTCAACCGACCGTCAGACCCATTGATTATAATAAGGTAGTTTTGCGTGAACTAAAAGCAACGACAACGACAAGAAACAACAGCGTGAAATGACAAAGTTTTGAGAAAATCTTGAGAATGTTAACCACGAGGGCAAATTATCACTATTTCGACTTAGAACTGAACGTTACAGTAGTTGTCTGATAGCCTACTTCCTCCCCTTCACTTACCTTTTCTGTTTCACCTGGCCCTTGTTTAACCAATTCTGTTGACTTTGTTGCATTGTTTTCTTGCCCTGCTTCTCTGTTCATTGTGGTTTTATCTTCAACCATTTCGCTCACCTTTGTTGAATAACCATTTGCCTTCAATTTGACGTCACCTTCGGTTCTGTCTGTTTGCAGTTCAACCCTTTCCTCAACCTTTTTAAGAGGCGGTAGATAAACGGAGTCTTTAACGTCTTGAGCAACTGAACTCTGATCATTTGCCTTGCTCTCATTTATCACACTTGCAGGTTTAATCACTGTTTCTAGTGACGCACCAAATCTTTCCGTCTGTTCATGGCTGGACTTGCCTTTATTTTCCTCGCCCTCATCTTGCAGCGTCACATCGTCATGTTCATTGCTAGACTTGCCTTTAGTTTCCTCGTCTTCATCTTCTTCCGTCAAATCTTCGTTTCGCTTCGTTTTGTTTGATGGCACTCCTTCGTCCGCCATCTTGAATGACTGCGTCTTAGAAATTGAGGCTTCTTTGTTGTCGTCATGTTTCATTGATTCTTTGTACTTTTGTGTTACCACTATTTCTTCCTTCTGTTTGTCTGGTCTTTGCTCGTTCTTTAACCCTTCACTTTGGTTAACTAACTTACGATAATTCTCTTCTTCATAATCATCTTGTTCTTCTAAACCTTCTGATTCATCTTGCCCATGCTGTTTGCCTTGCTCATCATTTTGATTTCGTTCCTCTTGTGTTGTACTTGGTACTTGTTCTTCTTGTTCCTCCCGTTCGCCGATTCCTTTATCAGGATCCTCTTCTTCATCTTCTTTATATTTGTGTTGAGGAAAATAATCATTTTCCTCGTTAGTTTCGGCATTTCCTTTTTTGTACTTTTCATCTTGTACGTCCATCACGTTTGCTTCATAATTCTGTTCTTGCTGTATTTTTTCTTCCTTATCTTCCTTCTGTTCCACTCGTTGTTTCGGTTGTTTTCCTCCTCCTTGCTTGTTTCCGTTAATCTCTTCCTCTCCTTCCTTTTCGAATTCCTCTTCCTCTTGTTCTTCGCCATATGTTGTTTCTTCTGCTACAAATTCTTCCTGTCTATGGTCCTGTTCTAGTTCTTCCTGCACTTTCGTTTCTAATCCTCCTTCATCTTTTTCGTGGTCTTCTTTACTATTTGCCGAGTCTATGTTAATTTCCGTATTTTTTATGCCTGCCGGATCCAATTCCTCTTCATATTCTTCAAGATTCTCATCGCCATCACTGTTCTGTTCGTTTGCTTTTGTCGCCTCCATTGGTACTCCATCGTCACTTCCAATCCGTTTGTCCAAAACGCCGTCTTCATCTTTACCTATCATTAACTTGCCATGATCTTTTCTGAAGCCATCAGACAAGAAGAAAAATCTTGAATCCTATAAATGTGTCATAGCATGCTAATTAAGTTCACTTAATGGAGGCAAATAGGTCATTTTAGAGTTGTGTGCTCAGTTACCTGGCCTATGAATGCAAGCGAGTCTGGAGGTGACCTCTCTACTTTTGTCATTTAAATGCAAACTAGTTAGCATTAGAACAACTTGATTTACACAACAAAAGCAGTGAGGTCTTTAACAAAACAAGGTCACTTCCAGCCTGGCTGCCATTTAAAAGCCAGGTCACTTAGCAGACAGCTATGAAATAGTCTATTGCCAAAGCCACTTAAAAAAAGGTAAAATAAAATTAATAATAAACAAGTAAAATAATAAAGCATAACTACAATATGGAGAAAATCGAGAAAATAGATTGTTTTTGAGTTAAATCCGAGCGCTGGTCAAGACCGAGCTCAAGTCAAATGCTTGGTAATTGCTGGTTGGTCCGCGACATAGATTTCAATCATGGCGGATGGTGGGGGTAAGTATTTAAACACAGCCGAGAATTTCTCCCAATCAAAAGAGGACGAATATTAGTGTACTTTATCCGCCATACAGGCCTAATTCCTAGGGTTATCTCTCTCAACCTTTTTAAAATTGAGATCATTCGCCGCATTAGAATTCCCAGGAGAGCCTACAAAAAGCCAATTCTTTTATCATATAGAACATACCTTATCAACGTGATGTCGCTGATGCTGTCGTCTGCTTATCAATTGATAATGTTTACTCGTTTTGCTTCGACTAGATAAACCTGTATCAAATAGATAACACAAAGGAAAAGTCAAATCACTTTAATCTAATAGTTCACGGTTTCGTACTAATCTTATTGCTGGTTTGCCCTGTTACGCTATCATAAAATCAATAAAAATCGTAACCATTCAATAAATTAACTCAAGAATCTGAGATATGATAGGTAATTGTTACATAAACAACCTCGCCAGGATTGAGGACTGTGCGGGTTTTCATTCGCACGTTATTTGGAGAAGTGTTTCATCCAAATTTATAGAGCTTTGTATGGAGACGCCATGTTAGTACCCCTCGGAGGGACACAAACATGGTGGCCGTAAAGTAACAGAAACATCTGTCATTGTGTTTTACTGTTTAAACGAAAAGAGCTCCGACACATTGAAATTAATACTTCTTCTAAAGCAAGAACTGTCCAGTTAGCAAAAACTTACTCGATGACTCAGCTTTTGACCTACTCAAAAGCCTTCACGGGCAGCCATTTGATGTCACGCAACGCATAAACTTGGAAATTCAAACGCGCTCTGTTAGAGAATGAAGAAAGCTGTCGAGCTTAAACGTTGTAAAACGCCAAGTCACTAGAGAGTCTTACATTTGATCAAAAATAAATTTTTAGAAAATGATGACGTCACATGAAAACCGGCGATTCTTCTCCGCTATTCTCCGCTATGTCATTGCCAGTATTTCCAGCCAAAACTTATTGATTCGTGTAAGGAAGTCAAAACTACTGTGAGCCGAACGTATTGCAAGAGTTTTAATGTTTTTAGTTCTTTTTTCTTTTAGATTATACTCACGAGTCCCCCGTTCCCTCCCCCACCCCCCAAAAAAGAAAGAAAACTCCGTATGGTGGTCATTATTACGTAACAACCTTGCTCAAACCTTGTCCATGATCAAGCATTTTTTCTTTTATAATGTGAATTCAGGTTTATTTATGATATTTTTACCAGCTTGTAATGTATATTTCATTTGTCTTCAATGTTTTAATTGCATTTTAATTGAAAAGCCTGACCGGGGGAGAGTCAATAAAGGTATTGTAGTGCACTGTTTATAGCTACGAGAACGAATCTATTTTACTTTCCTCTCACTCTGGGGGTCAGCGTCTAGAAAACATACGCGAGCCTTAGCTTAATTATGTTACGGTAAGAAATATCCTGAGTTTCTTGAGTCTCGGGAAATGTCATAGGTATCACACAAAAAATGTTTTCCTAAAGAAAATTTAAATTATCTCAAATCCCGCTGAACTCACACACACAAAGAACCCTTCATAAAACTACCACACATAATCAAATCTTTAATAGATTTGTGCATAACAATTTCCTGAGGTCTCAAGAAGCTCTTTTTTCGTCTAAATTTTTTTCCGCTTCATATGAAAATTAATAATCATAATAACGCTCACTGTAAAGACTTCCCATAACACCGGAGGCCCTTGTGTTACTACAGATTCTCACGCAAGGCGCGACATGTCTTGAGCGCATCACATAACAACTTTATAATGCGTTACGAGTTCAAAGTAAAAAGTAAATCTAGAGTCATCTTGCAAGCAAACGAAATTTGCGTTCCGCGACTTTCTCCTAATAATAAAATGTAGATATCTGTAGATATTAACCTCTTCCGAACTAAACTAAGCCTTTTTACTAACTTGCACAGTTTACTATTTATTTCAAGTCGATTATATTCTTGTCTTTCATCCGCGTACTGATGAATTGTACCGGTGAGCTTGACATAGTTGAATGCCATTATCCCCCCGAAAAGAATCGAAAATATCTATTTATAGATCAATTTAAACAAAGAAAAATAGAGGTGGTTTCACACAATCGTAGGAGTGCTCGATACAAATACATCTAGAGCGAAATACAATTACAACTTGTATGTAGATTAATTTCCGATGTGACTGTATCTTTGAAATCTCGCTACTCTCAGCTCAAAATACCATTTGAAAATCCATTTATTGTATTATTTAACACTTTTGACGCATTTTATCATTTTCACATGCTTTAGCATGTTTTTGCTCTCCAGTTAATACCGTATTGTTTCAGCTATATTTCAGTTTTCAAATCGCTGTAACACACATATCATTTTTGCAACAGCAATAGCAGAGAAACTTAGTTTCCTCACGGGAACCGAACGCTGTAAACATATAGTCCTTACCTGGTCTTTTCAGCGTTGTTTTGAATTTCATAAGTTCTAGTCCGCACAGAAAAACAGTGGCTATCCAAACTAACATGAACAGCAGACATAGGCGGCGTCGGAACATTCTATGAACTCTTCGAAAAAGCGCCATTGTCGAACTCAGACTATCACGCGAGAGAAAGACGCATCCTTTGAGTAGACAATAATGTCACGAAAGCCTCTGATCCCTTGCGCTATAAAGCCAACACAAATAAAACCTTAAAATCGTATAGAATCGTCGTCGCTATTTCTCGATATATTTTTTTCTTTTCTGTCTTGATTTACACGTAAGTCAAAAATTGCCAAAGAACTTGGAATTGGGGTAACACACTGAAGGGTTATATGACGACGTGACATGAGGGAAAAGATTATTGCGTTATTCTTCAAGTACGCAATTCATGAATTTATGAAAATTCTGAAAGGCCGATTGTTAAAAGGGCGCGTGACATTCAAAGGAAAACTACTGCAATAAAATTATAACATATTGTAACGTCGCCAAGGGTCAAGGCAAATAGACGCACGAACGTAAACAGACTAAGTTCTTCACAACACAAGGTTTTATTTTCAACTCTCCTTACATTACCTATGAACACAAAGGGCTACACAGAACAAAACAAAGAGGCGCTATCCCAGCCTCTGTTGCGGTCTAACCGCAGGAAATCCGGTAAGAAACAACAATACTTGACTGTGTATGCAAAAAAACCTTGCAATCATAAACATGTGTGTCATTCGACCCTGGTCACGAAATCCTACGGTCTATTGTAGCTTCGCTACAACATGAATAGGAGTTCATGAGATCAGTCTATGTAACAATTCTGTGAACAGTAAGATCGAAAAAGACTCTTTGTCTACTTCTTAACATTTCTTACCTGCTGCAAGTCCACGATATATTTAGTTTCACAGGAGTAAGTCATAACTAGCAAACAAAATGATAAGAAACAAGACAACGTTTTTTAAAAACATGTTTCAACAGAATCTTCGTCATCTTCAGTTTAAATTACAAAGCACAGAGTTGAATATATACTGTACGCAAAATTGTACGCAAAGCTTTTTTTTTATGAAACGGCTATTTTCGACTCGAGACTTGAGCATAGATGTGCATTTCTTTCAAGATAATGAGCTGGTTTACTTTGTGAGTACATTTATGCAAGTGACTATAATAATCTTATTCGAAACTCGTACCGTTAAACTTGTTTATTCGTAGGAATCACTCGTACATCATATTAAAGGATCTCGCTCGATCGAAAAGCATCAAAGCCAAGAAGAAAAAAGCTACTGAAAGCAGGATATTATTACAAAACGCACGTGATCAAACCGGTTTAAACAAGAATATGTACAAACAAAACGCATTGTCCAATATCACTGATTAACTTCGTTACTATGCAGGGTGAACGATTTCTACAGTAACTATGGGGAACTCAAGATCGACGTCAACCTTTAACAGCTACCGTTGGATCAATAGTCACGGTGTTCCAAAGAATGGTGTTGCTTGTGACAACGTATGTTTTAAGCCCCGCCCACACTACAACCGAGAAATTTGAAAACGCAGCTTTATTTCTACGGTAATTAGACCTGCCGTCCACACTAATCCGTCACGAAAACGTAGCTTTTCGAAATGCTCTTCAAACCGGAGAAATTTGAAAACACTGGCTTCGCTTTTTAGTGTGAACGGAAGGCATTTTGACTGTTGGAGCTCTTCTAAAACGGTGACATAGCGATAATCATGTGGTTTCCCTGCCTTAGTTATCCAAAATGACCAATAATTGTTGCGTTTTCAAATTTCTCGGGAGCGGTGTGGACAGGATCTAACAGTGACAATGTAAAGATCGTAGAGACCGCAAAACAAAGAGAAAACTGAAGTCAGCAGAAAAAGTTGTTTTCCTCAAGCTGCCGGTCGAAAGTTCCCACGCTGATTTAAGACAACTTCCTAAAAGTTATCAGGAAATTAAACTTCAATTTGATGTGTTGATCTGCTGACAGTGTTATATGGTAACCACATTTTCGAAGGTATTTTGTATTATGTTTGGAGTTTTTACAGTTTAAACTGATTCGTTTTAATTTGTAAAATTTTGATACTAACTCCTTTAATTTCTAGTATCATGCTATTTTTGTTCATTTGTTTTTTAATTCAAAGTACTACTGTGACGTTTTTCTGACATTTCTTAAAGATTTTGTGTCCAAGATATCGGATTTCTTAAACTAGCGTCATTAAGGCGTGATATCACCTCATAATTGGCGTCAAAACAACCAAGTCTCGATACTTTAGAAGTCACATAAGATTTGAATACTATATAGTGAAAAACTATGGAGTGTTTGATTTTGCCTAAGTAGAGATCACATTCTAGGGTTCTTTTGCCTTTTGGGTCTCAAATAGGCGAAAATAGTAACATTACAAAATATTTTTAGCATTCACTTTTGCCGGGTTTTCGAACATGATGAAGGAAGTCAAGTGATCATAACAATGTTAATCGTGATTCTGACACCCCCTCCATCTCCCCCCCCCACCTCCCCATCCCAGCCTCATCATAAACAGAAGCGATGTTTTGTCATATAACTTTTAATAATGGTTCACCCAATGCATTGCTCTTACCAAGGAAAAAATTAATACACATTTAATTATATCTAATGATTTGACACGTGACATACACGTAATACTTTTCTTTTATCAAAGAACTAACAGTTTTTGCGAAAGAGATGTGTTAAAGCACACGTGACATACACGTAGCATACACGTGACGTATAGCTATCTTAAGAAAGTTCAGCCGATTTCATTCGTTAAAGGAGCTCGGTTACGAAATATATTTACTTTTCTTCTTTCTAATTTTAAGGCCGTTACTCGTTATTCAGTCTTATCGTGTATGTAACATTATTAAAATCTCTTAATGGCAAAATGGCAAAGACCACAATTATAGATACATATTTGCTTTAATTTTCCTAGCACTTATCTAAACTGCATATATTTTATGAGTGATAATTAAGTTTCTGATTTAGCTTTTTAACCAGATAAATATTTGTCAGACACATTATGTACATTAAATAATTCCTACAAGTTGAAATAATGAAATTTAAATATGCTGTTCTTAATATTGATTATTAAAGAATATTCATAATCGTTAATTTGCGTAAAATTAAAATTAAACACGACAAAGAGACTTGTGCCTTCAGTTGATTAAGCACTGTTACGCCGTAACGTTTACCTACCCCTTTTCGTTTTATAGAAATCAATGCTTATTCTTTTTCAACAAGTTCGCTCATGCATGCTGAAGCTTCCTGTCATCTTGGTAGCTGACTGTCGATGGCGATGCCTTACTCAAAAACACTGGAGCTTCTCCATAGCGGCGGCTCTAGAAATATCCTTTACTCACGGCCGGGCAGTTAAAGACACGCAGGTCATTATATCACTACATATTTATTACATATTTATTACATCACTGTGGTTTGAACATGAAATGTTCCTTACTGATATTAAGGGTGTACGAAGAATTGCAGTATTTGACTTACGCTGACATCTGTGGGCAGAACATTTCTGTTTTCCCTGGATTCCTGTCATTGAATCTGGCTCCTGATAGACCAATCAACTTTCAGTCAATGGCCATTTTTGTATCCGGGACGACGTTATTAGTTTCTAAAGAAACTGTTGGGCTCCGAAGTTAGGCAAGTGAAACGCCTACTGTAGCTACATGTATTTATCACCTTAAAGTTGATAAAGGTACCTTAGCCACCGTAGCGAGCTTATAAAGCTGACATTTGGAGCTTCAGGCCTTCGTCAGAACGATGCGCGAGATGTGGTTGGTGCGTTTGTTTAGATAGTGGTGGAAACGGAGTTATAATTACAACAGAAATAGCGTAGATTAATTAATTACCTGAATGGATTATGTTGCTATGTTTCTTTCGTTGACATGCTTCTTCCAATAGGCTAACTCCCTTGGCTACAATACTGTATACGTATGAGCACATACATCATCGTCATCATCATCACACAACCCAAAATTCCTCCTAACGCTCGAAACGTGTGCTTCACAAACTCACTTGGGAGGTAAGTTTCCTGCCTACAAGTTGGCAAACAGCAACTTCAATCCGCAAGGGAATGAACTAAGCCTGCGGTTTCCTCAGGAAAGGTTTCCAAGTAAGAATATGCGGTATCCACCAGTATGTGTCCGTAAAGATTCTACGCACTTGCCACGGAACAGTAATTTTGTGATTCCTCGTTTCAATACCAAACGCTATGGTAAACAAGCAATCAGATATACAAGACCTTAATTGTTGTCTAAACTAGGTAAAGATATCAGAGATGCCCCTACTCTAAAGACTTTTAGAAATGAAAGCAGAAAACTTTACTTATCAGAGTATGTCGCCAATAGCAATAATTGGTGTAAGCTTTGCGGTAACTAGATTGCGTTGTAAATAATTCTATTATTTTAGTATTGTAATTTTAAATATTTTAGTATTGTAAATATTCAATTTTAACATTTAAGTTCGGTAGGCTTATCATTTTTAATGCCCCCAGTTAGTCCACTGGTGCTAAATACTTTGACATTTAAATAAGGGTTCTTATCTTATCCTTCTAGTATGGGACTGAGAAAAAAATCTGGGCATAATCTAGACTACCTAGTTATTTTTACAATGAGCAACGAAAATCATGAAGAGTTAAGACCATGCACGTTATTGAAGGACAGTATCTACTTTTGTTTACCTACTTTTGTTAGTGCGCACACGTTTGCGCACAAAGCAAGGCGTCGTTTACACTCCACGCCCGCTAGACAGTATTCTTTGGGGATTCCATTAGCCTTTTACTAAAATCTACTTTTTCCACATGCTCCTAATCTGGCGAAAAAGGAAAATGTGTTTAGTAGGCACCGTCCTTGAGGTGCAGAAAAGGAAATCACGAACCTTCAGCTCGAAATTCTAGCTTGTCCTTCTTTTCAATTTAAGTAACGTACGAACGAGGTGGATCCTTCTTCATTTTCAGGTTGCAAACATGTTAGAAATGCTCAATGCAAAAGGTTAAACACGTTAAGCGGTTGAAGTGTAAACTCCTTGCACGTCTATATGAGATCCCGCGGGATTTCGCGATACAGTGGACACTCTGACGTCGCTTGTAGATGAGTCCCGGAGGTGCAGAATAGAGGTAAACGCTTTCTTAAATTGTGGATTCATGATCCCGTATATGAATGGATTAGCCATGCTGCTGCAGTACACCAGAACATAGGAAACAAAATGAAGCCATCGAGCACTTGTCGATGCAAAAACCTCTTTGAAGCCGATGACAGAAAGAGGTGTCCAACACACCATATACACGCACACCACAACTAATGAAGTTTTCAACACTTTGTTTTCTGTCTTGTCCTCGGTTTTAGTTGGGTTGGGTAAGGAGGAGTGACCCTGGACGCGGCGGGCACTCTCCCGTACTGTTCTGTAAATCACAAAGTAGCAGCTGAAAATGATGGTGGCAGGAATGAAGATTGTCGTAATACAGAGAAAGATAATGTATGACTTGTCTCCCAAGCTCCATACGCATGTACAGTCTGTGAACAACACGTGGTATTCTATCTTTCCCCATCCGTAGAGCTGTGGTGTGTTTACAGCAACTGACGCAAACCAACAAAACGCGATTACGAAATATGTCGTTTTCCTGCTGGAGAAGAACTTTACGTATAGGTGGCGCTTGACAACCTTGAAGTAGCGGTTGATAGCGATGGCGGTCATTGTTAACAGTGACACAATGCCAAAAATAAGTTGCGTTACACCAGTAATCTGACATAGCGCATGACCAAGAACCCATCGTCCATAGCGCAGGCTGACGATCCAAAATGGCATATGCAGCATTGCCATGAGAATATCGCTGAAAGCCAAGTTTTCAATCAGTGCATTTGTTACCGTGTTGAGTCTAGCATCCCGGTGAATAGCGTAGACAACCAACGAGTTTCCGATGAAACTGGTCACACATATCAAGCAGGCAAGGAAGACTTCGAAGCCGATTTGGACGTTGCTTCGGCCAAGGGAATCACTTGTTACGTCATCAGCGGAACCATTGGTTGGGTGAAATAGCGTCATGCTTCTGGAGAGAAATAAATACCAATTCACGTTAGCTACTTCTTGTTAATGCAATTTTAAAAGCTACAAACCTCCATTAGGCGGCCCTCTGTTAAGCGGTCACACTCTATTAAGAGGTCATTATTCAAATTCCCGAAATTCACTTCAAATATTTACTGTGTATTTGACCTCAATCACTGTTTTGGACCCCAATTGGCTAGATCGATTTCATTGTTATTCACCTCTGTTAAACGGTCACCTAGCTTGGTACATTAGGTGGTCACAAGATCTTAGTGATCAACGTAACCGGAGCACAGTTTTATGGTCACGAGGAACTTTCGCTGGCGCTGAACAAAATGACTGGAACTGTCAATGATCCGCTTTAAGGCAAAGACGCTCGACGCTTGCTTTACTATTAAACATTATTAGCATTACTATAAATTATTTCCGACGGAACCAATTGGTGACAGCCTGAAATACGCCTGTGTTCGGGCTAACCCTAACCCTAGCCAAGCTCCCAGTACGTGCGTTTTACCTTTTTTGGATTATCACTTAACGGCGAAGAAGAGAGGAGCTTTGTAAAATGAAAGAAACGGTAGCATTGACTCATGAGCGAAAGTGTTTTTTTTTAAGATGTAACCTTCTGAGAAAACTATCATTCTGGTGAAGTTACTGAATAGACCCATCTCCCCCTCTGAGTAGAACACCTAGGTATACACCGAGGTTCTAACTGCAGTCTTGGCAGTCATTTCTCGCCTCTGGCAAACATTTTCCAGAAATAATAATTTAAATTTGCTTAAAACCAAAAAAGGCAAGTTGTCAAGCTTGCGAACATAAATTTTCTACAACCGAAGCGGTAACAGAATACTGTTTTTATTTCGTTTTCTACAAAAAAAAAATATTATTTTCAGGTATATAATATCAGAATGTTGCATCTTTTAAATAGGCTTTCTTCATACTCCTCTTTGTAATCAATTGTTTGCCTTAAAAGTTGAATGTTTCAAGCATTCAAAAACGTTACCTAGCTAGATATTGTTAAATTGCTTTTGATTCAGAATATGTTGATAAAAATTATTTAACACTATTCAAAATTACACCTTGATGATAATTTGTTTCAAGAGAGGTAAATTGGAAATGGGTCGCGATCTTAAAGCCATTTTACATATTGTGATTTAATCGGTAGTTACTATTTACGTTTAGGTTGTTATTAGTATTATTATTATTACCATTACCATTACCATTACCATTANTAGCCCAGTGAAGCGATTTTGAGCGAAGCAATCCCTCGAGTGACAAACCAATGACAAACCATGTCATTTCAAGATGATGCAAACATTAACAAATGAAGAACCAGCTGCGATGGAAGTAATCAATATTGATATGCTAGAATTGACAGCTCCAGCGTGTCGAAGGAACATCATTGAAACAGTCGCTGCTGGCTACGTTGTTTGCGCAATGGACAAGAAAATCTGTAATTGCGCAACATCAAAGGCATCGTCCATTTTGAAAAAAAAAAAAAACGTTTGTTTCCGTTTTCACGCCCTTAGTAAACTTGGTACAAAGGTGACAGTGACATGTTTTAGGAATTTTAAGAAAGAGTAACCTCCTTGTGTCGGAAATGGATTTGAATGGGCTGCAACTTATTAGCCTGAGAAAATCAATTAGCAACCAAAAGCTAATGCAGTCAGACAAGAGAGCGCCAGACAAATAATTTACATCAACCTGTTTTGGCACATACGTCATCAATGCATTTCAAGAATCATCTATCTGTGCCTAATGTTAATTGGTGATGTTCAAATTTGTAAGTTAGTGAAATGAAGCGCCCTGGTGCACCATTCAGATATAATTTTTTTAGCCTCAGGTCAAACTTGTATTTTTAGCAGTTAAACCTCACAATTCGACTAAAATTTAATACTATTTTTAACTGAAATGGTCTGAAATCGAAGGTTCGTTAATGAAACCTGGTAATTTGAATATCTAAACTTAACACTAACTAAAGAGAAACGTGTAAAAAGTTCTGTCGATAACACTAAAGCCTACAGGAAACCAGATGTTTCTACAGCAGTAAAGAAAAACGCTTTTAACATAAAAATCCGCTAAACGTCCAATGACACCGGCGATACATTCACACGGCCTTGTGATAGCAATTTTTCATTATAAGTTAGCCTTGACGTGGCGGTTTTTTTCTTCTGACGTGAGCTGTGAAGGATGATAAGTTTCAATTTTCCAAAATATCATTTTTATGTCCCTCTTAGACGAAACTAAGCAAATCTTGATATCTTTTTAACACCAAGAAGGAAGGTATATATTATTATTAGTTTACCATACGACAATAATCCCATCACGTGCAGAGGATGTTGCACGCTTTATAACTAAAACAAAGCGTTTACAATACGCAGGAGTCACTTACGCTAGAAAACATAAAAAGCCGTGTTAAAATTCCACTATCATGGGTCTCATAAACAACACATTGAAAATGAAGTTAAAAGGTTGCATTCTTGCTGCGCTTGTAAATATATTTGAGACATGAAGATGAATCTCAATTTAGATATGAAACGACACCAATTTACTTTCGTTTGTCAATTTCGTAGCTGAACATCGCGCTAGATCTGAAACAGAACTGAAGCTTTCATCAGACTCCATTGTTCGCAAAATGTTACTGGCTGAACTCGTCCTTTACTGCTTCTCAGTTAAGATTTTTATTCGTTTAAAGTTTCCCTTCGTTGTTCGAGCTTTTCAACTGGGACATTTCACTCCGGAGAAAATCAAAACGAAATAACAACTGATCAAAAAGCAAATTTTAACCATTGGTTTACACATACATACCTTGATCCTCAGGGAACAAATCTGTATTCACTCTGACACTCCTCAAAGGTATCTTCGTTGATTTGCTTTTGTGCGTGTTGTAAGCGTATTGAATTTTAATGAAAGAGGAATTAGTCATTATTCAATGAAGCCTATTTTCCTTGAAAGGTTCGTTTCCAGTGTCTCCAAAAGAGGAACATGTACTGAAAATGTTAATAATTGTCTTTGGAGCAAAGACACTGGTAAATGCTAAAAACCAAAGAATTTAAAGCAGAAATGATTTTATCTCAGCACGATGTAGAGAGATATACGTTAGTAATTTATTTTACTTCATTATAAATTCGTTAATCTTCACCGAATTTTTAGTATTAAAAGAAACATCTGCCTTTTTTTGTGTCGGCAGTTGACTAATTACCGTCAACTCCTTTTTGACCGTCACGTTTAATGCCGATTTTTGTTTGATTTAACGAACCGAGATATTATGATTGATGACAAATTGCCATCAAAATTGAAACCTTATTTGATTAAAATTTCTACAAAGTTCCACAATTTATTTTCCATTATTTTCTTTATTATTATTTTGATTATATTATTTAAGTTTGATAGATAAATGCAAGGTTAGTCGTAAGCTTCCAAGCCAAAGAAAATAGCGAATAGTTGAATTTTGTGCGAAGCTCATTAACTTTTCAAATGATTTTGCGATAGACAAATTAATTTGTAAGCCACCTCAGTTAGACTGTCCTAACTAGTCACTAGCTAGTTGTCTTCGAACTGCGTTGGCTTGAACGATACTAAAAACGAGCGACAAATAATAGTCTTAAAACTAGCACGCACCAAACCGCCGACACGAAACATGATCAAATTTTGAAAACCTCGGCCGGCCAAAAACTCTGAATGAGAAGATCTCAGCGTCAACAATACAACTCTGGACCGTGAGTCCACGAACTGAAAACAAACTTCGAATCAAGATATAAAACAACTGTGACCCTAAGGACAAAATAACCTTAAAGCCAGAGCAGACGAAACAGCTCCGAGCGATAAGATTACTATTATTCTATTCTATACGTAAAATAGGTTTTAATTCGAATGGCGCAAACAGTGCAATTTTAACATAGCAGCCCAGAGGTAAGAAATTTGAATCCAGGGACATATGATATAATAGCAATTACTTTGTGTCAAAAAAGATTCATTTACGAAGAGGAAATGAATGCCTCTATGCGGATGTCACGAAATAATTGCTAGCCATACAAGCAGCATCCCCGTCGGTGGGGCTTTCCTATCATCTGGGACATGTAAGGTCTTAAGCGTGCGTACGTCCTACCGAAGAAAGGGATACTTGCTACTAGGGAAACAAAAAACATGATCGAAGTTAGATTTGGTACTGATTAAATTGCGCGCAAATATATATAGAATCTAAAGTAGACAATAATTCTGGATGGTAGCGTACTTTCAGTGCAATAAACTTCGATTTCGAGTTCAAAATAAGTGTCAAACTTAAGTCTTTCACTGAAATGTCTTACTTTAGGCTGCAAGCATTCAAAAGGCTGACAGCCATCATAACATTGTATAACTGGGAAACGTTTTCATGGATAACTTCCAGAAAAATTAATGAAACCACATTTCGATAATTTTAATTTGTTTTCATGTAATATATCAAGCCCAAAAGACCGCGTTTCACCACGTTTCCAAATATCGAGGCGAAAGTTGAAAATACGACGCGTAGAGGAGTATTTTTGACGAACTTTGGGTTGTTTGGAAATTTAATCAGACTCCGGCTTTCTTGAATCCATGCTAATTAAGATATATTTAACCACCGTCATGCACGATTTGATTTCCTTTGTTTAAACTTGATGAGTTATTAATGAGTTTGAGAACGGAAGATCAAAGGTTTGTTTTAGGCGGCACGGAGTGAAAATTTCATATTCCCCTTACTTTCAACGGCGTAATTCATGTTTATTTTCTTTATTATAAAGTTTATCTTCTGTTCAACGATAAATTCATTGTTAGTGGCACTGATCTTGCCCGCTGGGCAAAGATAAGAAAGTCTATTAAATCATTTTTCCTCTCTCTTCACTTCTAAATATAAGACTGCTATGTTTCAAACATATTTCAAAACTCATCTTTTCCCGCTTTGTCCAATCATATCTTATGCTAAGGCCCGGTTCATACGTCGCATTTCTGCCGTGTCGAATTCAATTCAACGAATTAAATTCGACAGAA